AGGAGATATTTCAGATGCTACCAGGTGTTTATATAATCCAATTCACCAATGTCTGTAGAGAAGAGTTCAAATTCCATTAAGTAAGATCTAGCATTTGTTATCATATAGATTTAACCCTATCTTATTCACCTTTTCCAGATATATTTGATGATCATAACTGCGAAGACCGTATATATCATACCAAGTTAGTTTCTTATTCCTAAGACATTCTAGAAATTTATCACATCGAAGCTCTCTTTTGACCACACTTTTTTTTACACCCTTTGCTTTTTGGATACTGTGCTTCTTTTTAGGGTCTTCAGAATCTGGGTCATTGAGAGTTTTAGGATCATGCCTCGCTAGAAGGACTAAGTACATCTTTGGCTTTAAACATACTGGTTCGCCTATTGGGTTCCCCTTTGTCTTATCCTTCATTAGAAACAAGCTTCTGAATAGTTAAGATCGAAAATGTTTAGTCTTTCTGCTCGATCTTTATAGATATCATCTGTTTCTATCCACATGATGAGCAAGTCTGTATCAGTATAAAGTAGACGGGCCTTATCTCCATAGTGAGGCTTTATGTAACCGTACCAAAAGTTAAACATCATGGTCTTGCTAATATCGAGAATTGCCTGCCCTACATAGATTGGTTTGTTTAGAGTCACTGTGCTTTTTAATATGTGAACGGCTGTAATTTCTTCTTCGAATTGCTTGAAATCTACAAATAATGGTGAACTTGCTAGGCGCCTGATTTTTTTATCCTCTTCTGTTCGGAGTAATTCTACTCTCATATATTTACGGACATTCTCCATTTGCTTGCCGAAGACTGCATTATTTTTTAGCTTATAATACTGACTACAAACTCATCCCTATTTGCCTTGGCTATTTTGTATTTACGAATATTTTCCTCAATATATTCCTTCATCCACGGAGACTGCCTAAACTTGAGAGCGCTATGAATCTTTGTAACCTTTATTCTGAACTTCATATATGTTTGGAGAGCTCGGTAATGAACTATATAATTCTTCTTAGAAAAAAGGGTCTGAACTAGCTTTTCTCCAGATACATATTTCTCTTTTTCAACATTTTTATCACGCACTAATATTTCATTGTATAGACTAAGCCAGTTTTCTGATATTATCTGCTTTTCTGGTGCTAAAGGATAATCTGCAAAGTAATCATACAAGTACACTGGGGCTTCTAAATCAACTTCAAATATATAGCCTATTTCTGTATCTGGTACAATACTTTGGATGTTGAGTACTTCTTCTGGACTTACCTTACCTAGAATTTCTGTAGGCATGTATTGGGTCATTGTACCTGAATATAAAGCGTTCATATTTTCATATAAGACCCAGAACTTCGGCTTGCTGGGCTCATAGTCTGGACATTGTAGATTATTTGCTTTGGCATATCGATGACTTGTCATTGTCATTCCTCTACAGATTTTATTTTCAACTATCAGATACTCATCCATATCTGTCATGAGCTTAAATTCTACCCCGCTACTTTTGTATAAAGAATCGTTAAACATTTCAGGTGCAGAGACATAGTGAGATAGATCTAGACCATCGTCTTTGAGACACATTATGGTATAATTCATGAAAACATTTGCAAGTAAAAGTATATCAGTCTCAAGATAAAGGTCATGATATTTTTCAAAGTTCTTTATCTCGAATATTTGCCATACCTTTTGTGCATATTCGTAATCCTCTTTACTAATATTTTGTTAACTAAGAAGTGAATAGAAATTCTTTTTAGACAGGAGGCTTGTTCTGTCGAATTTTTCCTATACATTTGTTCAGTTATATGGAAAGACATCTTTTCGAAAAAAAAGCTTAATCTTGTCTATTGAATAGCCTTTTTTAGTAAAATACTTAACACTTAGGGGGAATTTTTCGATTTTTCCCCCTAGGTATTCAACCAATTTATCTAGCCCTATTCCCATATGCTAAAAGCTATCTAAGAACCGAAGCTGTCCTACATTCATAGCTTTGTACTTTTCTATATTCTCTGAGATGCAATTTAGCTTATCAGCCATGAACTTGCTCACAACTTTCATAAGCGGATAAGAGTCATACCCTCGGAAATTATGACAGATAAGGGGCACTTTAGTTTTGAAAGAGCCTATACGCAACTTTTTATTACAAGAGTTATGAGCTGTGCCTTGGTACTTTTCATTTATATGATCATGATCTTTTACTTTTCGATTAAGTGCACTTAAAGCTTCTCGGTATCTTTTCTGTGCTTTTTTCTTTTTAGGATATTCTTTTTCTATGCATGATTCCCATTCTTTGATTTCTAATAAATTATGCTTTGCTTCTTTGAGTTTTT